AAAAAAATGGTAGAGGAAATTTCATGCAGCTGAAGATTCATGAATCTACCAATACAGACATTCATGTTTCAGAGATGGTTGTTTAGCTCTCAAAAAAACCCCCAAGCCAACTTTCTAAGCAACTCAGTAAAAATGTCTGCTTATTCTTCAAAAGCATCCAAAAGTGGATAATGTGTTCCAAGCAATTACTAGCAAAAAGATAAAGTCCAATGAAAAAGTTTGCTGTTATTTCACATCCTCTTGATTTTACATTCAGTTTCAATCGTAGCACAGAAAACATGGAAAATGTTCAGAAGAAGTGACCGGCAATATCTTCTAGGCAACAAGAGCTTTCAAAAATGTAAAAGCAATTTGGTGCACAGTTCTGCTTCTTTTTTGACCAGAAAAACAAGCAAAAGTCTTTCAACCTTGCAGTATCATGAAAACATGAAAAGCTGCCATAGTTGCACTGCTTAGAGAAATCTGACTGAATTATCCTTTGCACATATATCAAGGTAAAAATACTGAGCACAATGAATACTTATGATTCAGAACATAAATTGATTAGCACTTGGTTCAGCCAAGGCATTGTCTTCATGGTGTATTTTGTAGTTGATCATCATGGCAGGAGAAATTGGCAGAAAACAAAGTTAAACATTAAATTTCCATTGTCAGCTGATGAAGCAATGATCTCAGAAAGTCAGATGCCTTATGCCAGCATGTATTGATATATGTGATTGTGTAATATTTTCATTTGTGTTATGAATAATGCTGCCTAGTGTAGGTCATCTAAAATGTTTAATTTTTCTAAATATGTGGTTGGAAACAACCCCAGCTTATACAGTACCAACATTTTTGAGAATAATGTAGATCTGAAGTCAATAATAGTATTTTATTTCAGATTGTGTCTAGGACATGCAAAGCATTCGCCTTTAATTCACAGTGCAAGATTGACAGTCATGATGTCTTTATGGTCCCTGTAGGGAAAGTGATAAAAATCAACAGTTGATATCCACCAAGGAAGGAATTCAGAATGTATTCTTGATCTTTAGTGATATTGCTAAGGATTTCTAAAACTTTCAAAAACTATGTTCATAATATTTTAAAATATGTATTTTCCCTATTTTCTCAAATACATGAATTAAGGTAAGACTGAGGATACTAGTTTATTTTGTTAAAATGTAGCATCTCAGTTTCCTTAGATGTCTCAGTGTTGCTTAGCTGATAGGAACACAGTTCAATTAAGCTAAAAGGCCTACTAACTTTAATAATCCCAAAAAGCATCTGTTCGCTGGAGCAGGCTGATAGCTTCTACCCACTTTTTCCCTTCTGAGCATGTTGTTTAACAAAAAACATTTTTTTTCATTCCACAGCAAGATTCCTTAAGACTTCCTGCTCATCAGGTCCAGACATCTACTGTTATAAGAAATCATATATTATTTTAGTCATTGCTTTATTAAATGTAATCTTGTAGAGTTTTGCCCACTTTGCTTCTAATGGAAGGTAACTGACAATCTCAATCACTTGTGATCAGAAACCTTACTCCCCTTTCCAGAATAAATGTATGTAAAACTATTTTTATTATGAGTGATACCATTTCCTCTTATGTTTTCCTCTCCTCCATATTTCTTTATAGTTAAATTTATAAGAAGAAAATATTTGCATTAGCTGCATCATATTTCTAAGCTAAGACAACCTGTTTCACTCTATCAGGCTTTTTGGATATAGGAAACAACTTAGTTTCCCCTCATCATAAAAGTAAACCTTATCCACCCTTTCCCTATTTGAAAGAATCACTCTAAGCATGGAGGGATCAGAAATTATTAATTGTTATTGGAAAATATATCAATATCTTACACCTTAGGTTCTATTTCTGTACATCCATTCCAATGAAACTTCCCTAGATTAACCAGAGCTGTCAAATTCTATTGTTTGTCCCTGAGTGCATGACGTGAGTTGATTTGGCATTACAGAGCCAAATAAGCTTGTATGATAGCTTGAGATGAAAACAAATGCAGGAACACCAGAAAGTCATCCAAGATGTAAATTTTGCTTTCTGACTGCTCTATCACGTTTCCTTGGCTGCCCTGAGCCAATGCAGGGCTCGCAGTCTCAGGTCTAGAAGTCACCAACAGCAGCAGTAGATGTATGCCAGTAACTGTGTTATTAGAGTCTTATTTGAAAAATAAAATGAATCTATAATGTTTTCAGCATTGCAGAATGATGTACTTATTTGAAAATCTAAACCATACTTTTTCTTTCCAGCCTAAGTTATAAAACATTGTTTTGTTTCTTTGAAGTCAAGCTGGTAGAGAGCGGGCCATCAAGAGCAATGGATCAAAAATGTATTAAAGAAAAATAAATGCTTTTTGAAAATAAATTATTCTACACAGAAATGAAGGGTCACTGGACTGTCCAGAGTCATTCCTTCTGCCTCCCACACTTGATCTACAGGAGCCTAATGCCTATTCTTCCCTCTGGGATCATTGACCCCATCTATTTTGTAGCTCTGTTTTGGGTGAGAGAAATAAGGAAAGACAATTTCTAGAATCAGTGCATGGCAGATGGCACAAAGTAGGCCTGGGATAACCTGGAGGGAGTATAAGGACCTAATCTGTCTATTATTTGTAGGTGAGGTAGTAATTAAACACTATCACTAGACAATCTACAAATGCACCTCTTTGCATGGAACTGAGACAGGAGGAATTGAGTACCCAGACTTTTTTTTCCACAGTTCTGTCCAAATTCCTTCTCACTGCAGCTTTGCACCGATATTCCCCTTCGGCTAGGTACAAAGTAAACTGCTTTGGCTCAAGGCAGAAAGCAACCACATTCCCAGTCAGAGCATGCACTCACACACACAAATACATGCACACCTTTCAGTGGAAATGTCCTCAGTTTTTTTTGTCTTCAGAAAGGTGCTTTCTGTAATTCCGTATTGACTGAAAGGATTTTCAGAGGAAAATACATCCAAATTAAAAATTCTGCATTTTATAAACGTGGGAGGAAAATTGCTGTTTAACAGTCATACTTCTGCCAGAGAAAAACTGGTGTAGAAAGGGAAGGGAAGCCTTTCCAAGGGTTTCAAAATGGGGAAAGCCTGGGAACTTTGGTTTTCAGAGTTCTTAGAAATGCAATGATTTACTGCTATGGCTCACTAATACAAGTGTGCTAGTTATGATAGAAGTGCAGAGATGTTTGTGCAAGGACTGAAAGGAGCTCAGGGACCCTGGAGCAGTCTGACATCTCCAGGATCCAAAGATCTGAACACACATGCTCCCTGTCCAGAAGCAAATCTGTAAAATGGCATTAATCCCAGGAGGAAGAATGCAAAGATGTAACTAGCCACCACTGCAAAGTCACACATGTTAATCAGCTTAGTTACCTACAGAACTGACCTCACCACTATCAGCTAATGATTAACTTGCAGCAGACGGCCTTGGGATAGGCAGGGAGGTGATAAGGGAAAAAGCTGAGCAAAAGTCATGTGTCATGAGGCAGCTGAAGAAGTGCTCTGCTCCAAGCAGCAAGCTGTCACGCATGTTACATTAATAACTGTAATTTTTAACTGCAAAAGTGAGGGGATATCAGCATTGCCTTGATGAGCTGTGACCAAGGATTAGCTGCAAACAGCCTCCTTGCGCAGGAGGAGTTTCCTCAGACCAAAAAGCACAAATCTTCCCCAGCAGAAACAAACAGAGCTTCTGAGTGGCACCATCAAGTGATGGTAAACTTCAGTGTCTTGAGTTTTGCTAATCTCACAGCACAACTACAGTGCAAAGAAAAACACATTTGGAGTATCAACCTTATTGCCACCAGTTATGTGCCAGTGGAGTAGAAAGAAATCAGCTCAGATGTGTTTGCTCTATTTTTCTGTTTATAACATGCTTTGCACAAAAGACATCTGACAGCATGATCAGCTAGAGAGAAATAGCTGCAGACTGCAGTGGAAGTTTAAGTACATTTATTATGGCTGGATTTTTGATGATTGGAAAATTCACAGTGGGATCTGGGAGATGGAAGAAACTGACATTTAAAACATTTTAATTCCACCTTGATGTCCCGCTAACACTTTAAAGAGAAATGAGTACATGCAGTTTCATTCCACACTGATGTATAATTTTATCTGTTTACTCAACCTAATGCTAATTCTCACTCCAATATTACTGTGAAATTTTAAGGCTGACATTGACTTTTTCTCACCATGATAGATTTAGATGTTTTTTAGTCCTCCACAGCACTGCTGATTCCTGCACCAGTTTTCTTTGCACAGCAATGACCCCACATAAGCTGGGTACCAGCCAACTCCTTGCCTATAGATGTGTTTGTACATATCATAGTCACTTATTGTCCTCCTAGTGTGACATAGAAGTGTCTATATACCCTTTTTGTAGTTGTTTGAGATAATTTAATAGTAAAATATAATAGTAAAGTATTGAAATACGTTTAACTGTCTATTCATTCTCCTAGAGCTCATTTTGCTTTTTCAAGAATAAAGTATATAGAAAGGACCAACCATATGCCATTTTCAGTTATCAGCAATTAGTTAATTTGCTTTTGAGATGCCCACAGAAGAGTACCCCCAGTTTCCTGCATAACATTTTTTGTCTGTGCGCAGCTCAAAGCACAAGGCAAGGTAGGTCTAGCAGACTGTTCCAGGCTTTGGGTGCAACTCAGTTCATTTTCCTCAAACTGCACTTGGGATTTTCATGGCTGACTGCAGTTTTGAACACCCAGCAGCTGTTTTGGTGTGGTGCCAGCAACAATCTGCACAGGACTGTCAGCCACCAAAGGGACAGTCCAAAGTTCAGGACTAAAGGACACCAAGGATCCGGAACCCCCAGCCACGAAGCCGACCTGTCCAGCTGGTGCTATTCTCATCACTTGATTACTAAAATGCTATACCCATAATATTGGCAACAAATTAGCATGGAAATGGGGATGGGGAACAGCATGCATTTATTTACTCTAACCCTGTCTGATAAAATCAGCATTTCCTCTTCTGCATTTAAAACTCTTACCTGAAAAGGAAGCAGAAAAGATCGACCTCAAAAGCTGATATTCCAGTCTTGCTGCTTCTTTCTTTGAATGAAAGAGCTTTCTCAGGCCAAGAACCAACTAACAAGCAGCCAATATATCCGCATTTGCTGGTTTCCCTGCTGCCAGGTAAACATCAGGTAAGGAGCCAGGAACATCACATGACTCGAAAGATACACTACTGTTTGTATGTATATAACATACTGAAGTAAGGACACTTTGGCAAACATCTGAAGGAAACACATTTCTGCTCGCTTTGTTTACGCATCTATGGATTTTCCACTTTGCTGAGACCTTTGACTATTATAGTGTATTTTTATGGTTGTTGAGAGGACTGGAGTTTTTTCTGTTTCAAAATTCTTTGCAAGATCCAAAAGAAGTACGTGTAGATTTTCTTTTTTCTTCAACTTTTGAATTAAAACTTTTGCAGTTTTAATTCACAGGATTGGTTTGTCATTTGAGTAGAATGTGCTAGATTGCACATTGATTTATTGGAAATAAAGTAGCATTAAAATCTAGTATAACATAGAGGTAGCCATCCAACTCATTTAATTTTTATAGCTTGCATTACTTGGCTATGAGTGTGAGATGTCATTTCAGTGCTTGGGACTGAGAAAAAGCTCTTGATTCTGGTGAGCTAGCTGCTGTGGTGTTGAGCTACTTTCTCATTCACTTCCAATATTCTGATGGAAAATAAGAGTTGATTTTGACTGGTTGGTTATTTGGCTTTTTGTTTGTTTGGGGTTTTCTTGTTTGTTTGTTTTTGAGGTGGTTTTTTTTTTTGTCTTTTGTTTTTCTTTTTCTTTTTAATAGTATTTTCTGTATTTTAATTTAATAACCCCCCCAAAATGTTACTCCAGAAATAAAATGTCTGAAAAATTATTCAAGTTTTGAAGAGGCTGAGCATTCAGTTTTCAACAAATCTGCAATTTTGTCACCTGATTATCTCCTCAGTCCTGTATGTATTTGCCATCTGTATTATAAATTTTTAATTAATTTATTTTATTTTTAGCCCCCTAAAACAACACAAGGAAGTTAAGGTGGGTATAACATTTGATTTGCTCTACCTGCTCATACAATCATTCCCAAGTTGAAGAGCTTGTTGCTCTTATACTTTTGAATCCATAAGGTGAAGCATTAAGCATCCTAAAAGGTTCAAATATGACCATGTCCTAAGGTGCAGAGAGAGACTAGAGCCATTCTTTATTTAACAGTAAACTACAAATGCATGTTTGCAGCCAAAGCAAGCACAGCTACACCAGTAGCATGTTTAGCTAATTTGGCTAAAACTAATGATTAAGTGGTGACACCTGAAATTGTGGTGGTAATAGCCTGGAGAAGAGAAGACTGCGTGGAGACCTCATAGCTGCCTTCCAGTATCTGAAGGGGGCCTACAGGGATGCTGGGGAGGGAGTCTTTGTTAGGGACTGTAGTGATAGGACAAGGGGTAATGGGTTAATACTTAAACAGGGGAAGTTTAGATTTGATATAAGGAGGAAATTCTTTCCTGTTAGGGTGGTGAGGCACTGGAATGGGTTGTCCAAGGAGGTTGTGAATGCTTCATCCCTGGTAGTGCTCAAGTCCAGGTTGGACGAGGCCTTGGGTGATATGGTTTAGAGCGAGGTGTCCCTGCCCATGGCAGGGGGCTTAGAACTTGATGACCTTAAGGTCCTTTCCAACTCTAACCATTCTATGATTCGAATACATGATGTGCGTGATGCAGATTGTGAGTCTTTTGAAGGAGAGGGGTGGTAGAAGCTAGGTAGGTCTTCTGGTTGTCCAGCTTTAGGTTAGTGCTCTTAGGTTTTCATAGATACCTGTTCTGGGACCCTTTATGCAGCATAGTTAAAGCAGAGTCTTTCCTCACCCATGGTAAGTCTGTGCCTTGCTGTGGCAAGCTGAGCTGTATCTTAAATGTAGTGTTTCTCTGCTCAGTTTCTGACTATGCCCACCCATGATTTTTTTTTTTTTTGTTTTTAAGAATGATTCTGCTCATTACCAGAGCATCTGATCAGAATTTTTTTTTTAAAGTACGTATATTTAAAATGTTAAAAAAAAAAAAAGGCATTTTTAGCTTTCAGTGATACTGTGCTGAGAAGAGCTAAGGGACACCAAAGGAGTCTTCTATGACTGAAGCCTGTATAAGATTACTAAGCAAAGATATGAGTGCTTTCAGAGGAAAGCTGGGCTAGGGAAATAGTTTTCAGGTTGGGAAACTCATTAGGAAATCAGACTGGAGCTTCTGAGTTGGAGCTTCTGTTTATTTCTATACTACTTAAGAAAGTATTGCTTGTTTTATGTAATTTGGAAATAAATAATATTGTATCTAGGAAATACTTCACTAGAGCCAAGTAGAGCCAACAACAGAAGCAGACTGCTGGGGTTACTTATTCTGATTATTATTCTTTGAAAAATGTTCATTGAAACCATGATATTTCAGCTCTGGGTGTTAAACCTATTCTGTATATATTAAGGCAGCTTTGGCTTTCAATGCTGTAATTTAGAAATAAAATCTACACACAGTTCACAAGACTTTACTGGCACTTTTGATCCTTGACCTGTTTATATAATAATTATTAACTAGCTTAATTCTGAGAACTATGCCCATGTTATTAGACAAGATATTTTAATGTGATAAAATGATGCTTATTACAAGTCAAGGTTGCTTTTGCTCAACTGGAACAACCCCATAAATTCTAAATTCAGTGTAAATAAGAAACAGAATAAATGTTTTCCAAGTAGAACAACAAACTTGGCAACGAATAAAACATATTCATGCTTTTAAATGCATAAAACAAGTGCGCAGAAACACAAAATTTCAGTTTTGAAGAATGTCAGAACATCTTATAATCTGTGCCTTAAGTATTTTTTCTCTTTCATTTTGAGTTCTTTCTTTTTTTCCAGCCTTAATCGTGAATCTGTTTAATTTCAGGTATTTATAATTTGTGCATATATCCAAGCCTGAATTTTATTTCAGTTTGAATTGGGTTTGATTCTGAAAGTCTTTTCAAGCAAATGCAAATCAGAGCACCCACTGACTGAGTATACCTGGAGATAAACTACAAACACAGCAACCCCCCACTACTAACTTAATCTGACTCACACAATAGAAAGACTCCACTGATGTCAATGATGTTATTATAATTTGTGTAAGGATCAGAAGATTTATTGGTTTTAATATTTTACTATTAGATTACTTTTCATATTAATGCTTCCTTGACTACAAGTCAAGAAAATGATTTCCTAAAAGATACTTGGACATATGGCACCACTTCTCTGCTTTTTCTTCTTCCAGTCTTTCTTATACCTCCAGGTTTTGTGTCCTTTATCTTTCTTGCAGCATTGTGCTAATGTTTTATATTCAGCTTGTTATCTATGATCCTTGTTTCTGCAGTGCAGGATATGTTGATTTTTATAAGCGCAGATGTATGACATTGCAGATGTACAAAACATGTTTGTCTATATAAAAATATACGTTTACACTTAGACATGGCAAGCCTTCCCTAGTATTTCTTTAATCCATGATTTTCATTATTATTAAACTAAGACATGCTCCTTCAGAAAAAGCCAGAAATTATTTTTCAATGTGTTTTAACATACACCATAGTAGTGTATAAAGTTTAAAAATAGTGGTTTAATGTTACCTATGTCTATTGCTAATCATTAAAAATGGTACTAGTGTAAGTGAAGTCCTACACTTTAACACATACTGAAATATGACATGATATAGATCTTCCACTAGTGTAAATAGCCATGCTGAAATCGAAATAAATGAACTTGTGATCATTTTTACCAAGAAAGTATTGGTAGTTCCTGAGTTTGCAAATATTTATCTGTATTTTAAATTGCCTCTTTCACCCTGAAAGAAAAAAACTTCCTTATATGTCATCTTCAAATTTGTCTTTTCTTCCTACATTTGGTAGAGAGCTGGGAACCAAAATACAGAGGGTAGATAATGGCAGAAGTCCCTGAATAGGAATAGCTACCTCCCCTATCATGAACTGTGTTATGGGGAAAAAAAATAAGAAATCATCTTTTCTTTATAAGTTTCTAACAGGAGACAATAACTTAACACAAATCATGGCAAAATATTTCCTCATCTAAAAAAATCTTTGGGTTACTTCTACAGAATCCCTAACACGGTAAAGCCTTATTTGCCTTTAAGTAGAGAAAACAGTTGAAAGATATTTATATGAACACTAGATTTGAGAAAAGACCATAACCTTGGTCAGAGACAGGTGGAAGTAAAGAGATACATGATCAAAATATAGGGAGAGTGTTTATTGATTATTAAGCACAATTTATCCTGTGCTATTTCTGCGTATCCTGATATAGGCTTTAAAACATACGTAACTTGCACAGGAAGAGGCTAGAAAAAGATACCATTTTTTTAAGACAGATATATTTTACACCATCATTGGGAATAGAAAAGATTACTCTTTGCATTTCAATACCTAGTGTTCAATCTGATTTTAAAATATCCCAAACCATATGTCTTCCGTCTCTTCTATTATTCAACAATTTAATATGCTGAGTTTCCTGATATTTGCATTAAATGTCTTTCATCACTTATATGTTCCCCTTCCCTGCTAAAATTGTACTTCTGTGTAACAAAGTGAATAATTTTGATGATACTTTCTATAAGTTTATGTACTCGGAGGCTTGAAAGCTGTTACACTCCTGCTTATTCCTTATTTAGGCAGGTTATAACCACTTAATTATTTTTTCTTCCCACTTCAGTTCTCACAAAACTGCTTAATTTTTTTTTTTTTTTATATCTTCACTGATTTCCTTCCAATTTAACAACTATTTTGAAGAGCATTTCTCTTGGTTGCATGCAATGGGCATTGCAGAAAATTCTTCCTTTGTGATTGCCATCCCAGTCCAAAACCCTTTGAAGTCCATGGATGAACTTCCCTTGGATGCAAAGGGCACTGGATCCTAAACTTGCATTTTACCATTAAAAATTCTTGTAACATCCTTCAACTCTCTTAGAATCATAGAATAGTTAGGGTTGGAAAAGACGTTAAGATCACCTACTTCCAACCCGCCTGCCATGAGCAGGGACACCTCACACTAAACCATGTCACCCAAGGCTCTGTCCAACCTGGACTTGAACAATGCCAGGGATGGAGCATTCACAACTTCTTTGAGCAATGCATTCCAGTGCCTCACAT